GAAGTTGTGGCAGACTGGTGAAGTTCCCAGCGACTGGAAAAGCGGAAACATATCCCCCATTTTTAAAAAGGGAAAAAATAAAGAAGACCTGGGCAATGATAAGCCAGTCAGTCTTACCTCTGTCCCTGGTGAGATAATAGAGTAGGATCATCCTGGAAACTATGCTAAGGCACATGAAAAACAAGGAGATGATTGGTGACAGTCAACATGACTTCACTAAATCATGTCTGACAGATATGGTAGCCTTCTATGACGGAGCCATAAAGCATTGGTGGATAAGGAAAGAGCAACAGATATCATCTTCACTGTCCCACATCTCTAAACTAGGTTTTGGGAAATACTGCGCTGACCCTGTAAGGAATGGAGACTGTATGACATCATCAAACTTTTTTTGTGTGTTTGACTGAGTTGCCATTTGGTTTAAGGATTAATTTACTTGAAAATCCTAAAGGGAATCATGACAAAGAAGTAACAAGATTCCTTCATTGGCAAAAGTTATCTCTGTTTTTCCACAATGTTGTATATATATAGAGAAAGACAGATACACCTATTAACATTTTCTGACAGCAATTATTATAAGAATAGAATAAATTGAGGATAACAATGTAACTGTGGAACTATAAAATTAAAATTTATTTATAGAAGAGTTAGTTTCAGCTAAAACCATACTCTAACAAAATCTCCTAACATAAAAAGGCTTTCCTTTCCTTTAGAGTAGAGATGTAATTATGTTAGAGGTTGTGTTCATGAACTGCAGTCTTTAGGAAGCAAATGTTAACAAAAATAGGTCCCTAATATTTATACCACTCCAGAACTAAAATAACTGTGGAAAATGGATTTATTGTAATAGTTAAAGTAACTGCAGTGAAGTGATTTTTCATCCAATTAGGAGGTTTTGTGCTGTTTATTTTATTACCATCGGCCACCAAACAGAGCTACAGTAAACAATTATAGAAATTCTGTTCAACTAACTACAGAGGCAGCCAGATCTTGGAAGAAATGCTTCTACCCTGGAGTTCATTTGAAATAGTAAACATCTCTGTTAAAACAGGCCTGCACAACTGCTGCCTAGCTGAACAAGTTAATAAAAAAAGTTGTTGCTCATAGGTTGAACCTTCTGTTCAACTATTCAGTCAAAATAAATTTTTATCTTTCTCCAGAAACCAAATCATTTTGATGGATACTGCAGGCAGTGTATTTGGACTGTGCACAGGGTGTTTGGTGTAAGGTGAATTTTGACCACTTCTCTGATTTTAAACTACAGAAGGTGGTAGCACTTCCAATTCCCATGGACATTCCAAGCCCCATTTGTAGGCATATAGCCAAGAAACCATTAAGGGGTGAAGTTGAAACTCTGTCTTGTTAAAAACACAACAAAATTGACCTTGTATTATATGAAGGGAAAAGCATTATTTTGGCACTAGGGACTGGAACGGGGGGAGGTTAGGAGAACTCCTCTAAATTGCCTCTTATTAGAGTAAACGAACCTGTTCAGTCTCAAAAAATGGGGCTTCAAAGCATCTTTATACTTTTCCCCACACCAAGGGCCTTTCCAATGACACATCTGACTGCAAAGTAGACAAATACTCCTCCTGCCTTCAACAGAGAGCCCCAGTGGCCTAGAGGTACTACATGGGCCCACCAATGTCCGTACTTTGCAGTGATTCGCAGGAGAGGGGATATGGCTTTCATTGTCAGCAACAAGGGAATTCAGCTTTTAGATCCTATACTACCCTGGATTCTCTCCTACTTCAGATTTTAATGCTTGGAAGGTTTCACTTGATTAACTCTGAATCTCACACAGACCGTCAGTAGCTGAGCCACATTTTTGTCCTACATCCTCAGCCATAAAGCCACCGGCCTCATTCTTAGGAGCCTTTGCAACATGTGTTGCCAAAACCTTGCTCACATTCAGCTCTGACTTTTAGTGGTCTAGTATTTGCTGGGCTGCTCTGCCTAAAACAATGGGCAGCACCTGCTGCTGCCTTATTTTCAGTCAGATATGTAACTAGGGAAAAATGAACGAAGTGGTGGTAAAGTCATTTTGTCAGAGGTCTAATTGGCATCAGCAACTTGAAAATAGGTAATTCAGCATAAACACTTGCAATAAACTATTTCCATTAGATATTTTTCCAATATGAATAAAATTGTCTGAAATTATCAGAAACACTGTAGCTTCCAGAACCTTTATGAGGTAACTAAACATGCTGTTTTACACAGTGTTATTTTAGAACGAAAATTACTCTGACATTTCACAAAAATGAAGCAAATCCATTGAATACTGGTTGTCTTTGGGTGAATTCAAGCTCTTATGCTTGTGGGATCAACTCAGACACTGCAGACACAGGATTAACCCAGATTTTTTTTTCAAAGGTTTCTTCACAGCAGATTTTAATGCACACTGATATGAAATCCTTACACTCTACACAGACATCAACAGCCTCACAGCATTTTGAGTAAATACAGGGGCTTCCTAGGAAAGCTGGTCTTTTAGCCTGGATTTATGTCTTGCACAGAATTAGATGAAATCCACATAATTCAGGAAATAATTCATGTTCTACCTAGCACTCTGAAGGAAAATAGATGCACTTATATTGACCTCTGTGTGTCAGATTGAGGAGCCATATCAGACTGGGGGATTATATTCATATTAGACTTGGAGCCCCTGAATTGGAGAGGCTCAGGACAAGCAGGGTGAGGTGAGTGAGAGCCTTGGGCAGGTGGGAGGAGGATACACAGCTTTGCAAACGAACAAATCAGCCTGGCAGGTCAAATACCATTTTGGTCAGCACTCCACTAAGCAAGCAAAACACTGAACGACGCATTAAAAGAAAATGCAGTTTGCTTAGTCTGTCTGCATAGAGAAACAGAAACACTACCAGCCAGTGCTGCTACATTCCTTTTTTTAATTTTATTTTTTTTAGGAAGGTCCTAGCAGCAATGAATATGAACTCTGCAATCCCAGCTGGACCTCTGCTATCACCTTATTTATGTCTCCCAACAGACAGTTGTTTGGTGGTACAGGCAGATCCTGGAGCAGCAGTAATCATGACCATTCCTGTAAAAGCAGCACAATTGTCCTTTGGTGACAAGTGATGCCACTGAACACAGAGGTAGGGAAGATCCTATCACATCTTGTTGCTCATCCTTGCACTCAGCATTACAGACCTTAAGTCTGACTGTGCTTTAAGCTGAAAAAGCTGCCATTTTAAATCTCTGTGCCCTTAAATTTCTGTGCCTTGATCTCCCCTTAGCTTCCTCTATGATTATTGCTCTTGCTCCAGCCTGTGGGCTAAAAAATGAAGGGAAACAGCTATTTTTCAAGTGTGTCACTGAAGAAAACCATGCAGCAAAAATGAACCTCCACTAGTGGCAATCAGCATAGCAGGGCTGAAGGCAATGCCAGTCTACATCAGCCAGGGGCTGATCCCACTGCACCACTTTGAGGGTTTTTACTTTTTCTTATGCATGATGGTAAAATTCATTTTAGCAACAGCTACATCAAAACAAATCAGATGAATCAGGGAATTGACAGAACTGGCTTTCCAAAAGGCTCTTCTTAAAGAATTTCATGAAGAATCATAATTCAGTTTGCTTGGAAACAGTTAACATGATAAAGGAAGTCATCAGTTTGTAGCAAAAAGAAAAAACCCAAACATTATTAAGGTACTGGAACAGCATCTTATTGCCCTGCTGCATCACCCTACAGTCATCAGAAAAAATGTGCCTTGCCTGTTGTCAATGGCAGCCTGAACAAAATGGCAAATCCTGTTACCCCACTGAAATGCAATCACATCTTTTATTGGAAACACCAAAGACAATATGTGACATTCACAGACTGAGGGTAAACCTGAAGGGGCATTTGTGTAGCCTGACATCAATTACTTGGGCTTAACTGCATCATGTTTACCAGAAAAGGGGGAATAGTTTGCAAAACATGACAGCGGGGTCTTGGAGATGCAGGAGAAAGATCCTGTCTGTAGCATAACTTGAAGTCTGGTCTTCAAGTGCATGTGTGGGCAGAGATATTCTGTGCATCATCTCCCCATGCAGATGCATTGCTCACACATACATATATTATTCCACAAGCAACCTAAATATCTTAATTTTAAAAACACAGCTCAGCTCTCTTGCTGCAAGGATAAACTGTCCAGTTCTGATCATCTTTCTCAGGTATTTTAATCACTGAAATTCCTCAGGCTCCCCTACTGAACTAATCTAAGAAGATCTGACCAAAAATTGCTTTCCAGTTATAAAAAGATCACATGTATGTTTTTGTTCTTATCTTTGCTATGCACAAATATGCTACTGACAGGAGGGATAAATGATAGAAATGGCAAGGATGGCTTTCAAACGATGCTATATGCAGCTGTCATGGAGACCAACAGGAACTGGGGTTGCTCAGCACCTTCTTAAATATCAAGGCACCTCTCCATGTAGACACACACATAAGCATCAACACCTTCCCTGCATGTACATACATGCCCATTTTATTATGCCATGTATGCATAATAACTTCATCCTACATTTAAATCTTTATGCACATACAGAGAAGGGTGCTAACACTCCTTCTGCAACACACACACACACACACACACACACACACACACGAAATGTAACGACAGGCACCAGAGAAATCCAATGCAGCTCTGCAGACAGAAAGTGCTCACTGAAGCCATGCAGTGCACACCCAATCCACAGCGATTGGTGTCTTACCATTATGTATAATAAATAACAGTGTTTAATAATAACAGCACAGCTGTGCTGCCTGCACTCACACCCTCCCGATTCCATGCTCCTAAACCATTTAAACAACGTGGTTCTGTACATGAAACACAGAATGAAAAGCAGGCAGGACATGATCACTGCAAGAGATAGGCTTCGGCAGTGAATGCTGCTTCATGTCAGAGTGGGCTTTTCCCAGCTTTCAGACGTGTGATCTGCATGTCTAATAATGAACAGATTTAGTCAATCCATCATTTCTGGCATCAGTCCCTTACCTTGAAATGCTGCAGCTGAAGTATCTGGTCCTCAAGCTGTTGTCTCTTGCCTTCTATTTCTGTCTGCCTTTTCCTTTTCTCCTTGGAAAAATTATTTGAGAGAAAGAGAGAGAGAGAGAGAGAGAGAGAGAGAGAGATATCTTGTCAGAGAAGCGGAGGCTTTAAGGGTAGCAGATTCGTAACAGCATTTAAGCAGTCAAATGCATCTGTACAGATGTCACCAGTCCCATTTCACCTGCTCTTCTGCCTGCTGGTATGCAAACAGCAGTGTTCTGGGAAGACGCCAGCCCCAGACGAGCCGGTTGCTTGCCAGCAGGAGAAATTCTACTCGCTTGCTCCCGGCAGCCGGAGCAGCAACAGAGTGCACAGTCCCAGAGGAGGGGAGAAAACAGGCATAACAGCTGAGAGAGAAGTTAAAGGGACAAAGATGTGATTTTGCTTTTGAGATGCTGGGCCAAAAACATGGATAGCGTGGTGCAATTGTGCGACAGTAAGGTGTCACAAAAGCAGTGGGTGGCATCACAGAGGAAGGGAGCCAGTTGCAACTTCATTTTTCCCCAGCAAGGCTGGTGGTAAGGCTTTCTCTGGGCTCAATGGGAAGAAGATGTTTAAGCCAGACTGCACAGGATTTACCTGCAAAGTATATGGGATCAGTAGCTGGCTGTGTTTAAAATTCAAGCTACCAGCACACACTAGCAGCTGGCCCTTACCAGGTCCCAGAAGTTGGACTGACCAAGTGCCACCAAGGACAGCACAGTCATTTCCTCAGCTGAGGGTTTTCATGGTCCTGTTCATGAGCACAGCACTCACCTGTGCCCAGGCTGCTCCCTTCAGTAGGCAGCAAACTCTCCCAGGCATTTCAAGAGGAGAACAAACTGCTTTCCCACCCTTCAACACCTTCCTCTTACAAAGGATCAACTGTTTGCCTTTGTCAGTCTTCTGTACCTTGTGGGGAGCGTTTCTTCTCACCCATTCATCCCCATCCTGGATCAGGTTCCCTCTTCTGAAGGCCTTTTCTCATTTTAGATTTTGTAGCCAAGATGGACTAACAAATGAAGGCAGTCAATAAGCATACCAGCCTCTGTTTTTACTAGAACAATATTTTTTATTCCCTATCTGCAAAAGCTTTTTTTTAAAATTTAAATATTTCAGTAGTTGTAAGGTTGTGTTTGAAGACATTTAGGGAATCCTTAAATCCCCAAAGGAATTTTTCTTTCTCATTTCTAGGTGCCCTACTAATGCTCTGGGAAATCTCTGCTTTCCAGGGATTTCAAACCTTCATGTCTTTTCCTCAAGGAGTATATGATAAGAGGCTGCCTATGCAGAAATTAATTTTTCTTATTTTGGACATCAAACCAGGACATCAAAAATATTGAGGGAAAATGTTACATTTACAAGGAAGATCTGAATATTTTTTTTTAATTATTATTCAGTGTCAGGCTTACTCAAAACAAGGAGGTAGGTGACTGCCTGGACCACTTCTGCCAAAGAGTTAGACATCAGAATGGCGATGAGAAGGTTGGTGTAAGGTACCCAGAAGAGGTGAAGTAGTCAAATGATGCATATGTCAAACAGTTCTGTAATACACTGCACACTCTTTCATGCTGATTATTCATGTATGCCTATGCCAACACCACACATACATGCACACACACTCCCCATTGTCTGAAGTACGCAAGAATGTTACTGCTGAACAAAAACATTCTCATAGAACAGAATTAGAGAATCACAGAATGGCTTGGGTTGGAAGGGATCTTAAAGATCATCTAGCTCCATCCACCCTGCCAGGGGCAGGGACACCTTTCCCTAGACCAGGCTGCTCAGAGTACCATGCAACCTGGCCTTGAACACTTCCAGGGATGAGGCATCCACAACTCCTCTGGGCAACCTGTTCCAGTGCCTCACCACCCTCACAGTAAAGAATTTCTTTCAAACACCTAATCTAAACCTACTCTCATTCTGTTTGAATCCATTCCCCCTTGTTTCTTCTCTACCTACTCAGGTAAAAAATCCCTCTGCATGTTTCTTGTAGGCTCCCTTCAGGTACTGGAAGGCTGCAATCAGGTCACCACAAAACCTTCTCTCCTCCAGGCTGGACAGACCCAATTCTCTCAGTCTTTCCTTGTAGGAGAGGTGCTCCATCCCTCTAATCATCTTGATGTCCCTCCTCTTGGTCTGCTGAAGTTGTTTTTGAACACGAAAATTAGCTTTTTGGATAACTAAAATGTCACAAGTGGTGCTGCTCTTGACATCTCACTGGTCTGTGCACACAGAAGATGGTTTGTATTTACACACATACAGAATTTATGCACGCACTTTAAGAATCCTTTCTTATACAAAACTGATAGTCTGTGGGTCATCCCTCCTATCACTCCTCCAATTCACATTATCCCTTTGCATTTTTGAATGAGGTAGGATATTGAATGGTTCCGTGGTTAAAAAACCCAACATTATTCAGGGAAATCTCTTGCCATTTTCTTCATTCTGCAATACTAACAGTGTACTTCAGAGTCTGAAAACCAGAATTCGTTCTTTGCTATTTCCTCAAATAGCTGGTTGTCCATGGACTGGAAAAAAGTAGTTCTAAAAGATGTTTGAGTTAATGGTCTGATATTCTCAGAATAAGGATAATTTTGCCCTTTTGTGCCAAGCTGGCAGGATGACAAAATATTGGATTACAAATATGTAGGCATTAGCACCCCACATTTGACATTCCACAGGCCAGCACAAGGCATGTACATTTTCACAGTTAACTGATCTACATTTGTAAGTGTGTGCGTGTATATATATATATGTGTGTGTGTGTGTGTGTGTGTGTGTGTGTGTGTATGTATGTGTATGAAAAACCTTTTCTCTGAGGTAGTAAAGAAGAATGGTTTGCCCCACTGATAATACTGGACCAATCAACAGTTCACGTGTGCCCTACGGAAATTACATACCCACAGAAACGGAAGAGAAGGTAGTGAAGACAGTGTAGAAGGCAGGTAGCCACGAGGAGGCAGGGGACCAGTGAGCCCCTTGGCCCCCAGACCCCAGGCTCCCAGCCCCCAGCCGAGGCTATGGGAGACCCGGTATAGTGTCAAAGCTGGACCGGGTCCCATAATCAAGAGCTGGAAAATTTCCTTACTGTCAGTAGCAGCAGAAGACATTGAAAGCAGCAGCGGAGCAGCCCTGAACAGAGACAGTGATGGCTGAAAGCCAAAAAGATAGCCAGTAGCAGCGAGATAATGTGAAGCTGGCTGAAAGACGCAGAGATGTTCCTGCAGCAGGGAGAGTGGGCAACAAAACAGAGGTAAACTCAACAGAGCTGGTTTGGGGTAAGACTGTATAATTTTCCCAAAACCAGAGACTTTCTGAAGAGGGGTGGACTTCCAAAGCCTTAGGGAGTCTTGAAATGCAGCAGCAGCTAGAGAGAGAGAGAAAGGAGCTGAAAACCCTGAGCTGTCCTGAGAGCTGAGCCAGGATGGAATGCGGAGGAGGAGACCGTGCCCTCTGCTGCTGTTGTTGCTGTTTCTATCATGCTGTCGAGCTCAGACAGAGCAAAAGAGCGTTGGTAAGACTGAACTGAAAGCTGCCTTCAATGTCCTAACCCAAGAGGAGTGAAGATCTACAAGGAAATACCCCGAAGGCTCGGGCTCGGGGTTGGAATTTCCACAAAGTAAGAACAAAATCCTGACTGCCGTACGTAAATCTGCTGCCTCAGGAAAATGAAGGACACTAACCAGTGCCACAAAAACTGAAATGAAGGAACTGTGGCCTGAGAAGTGATAGACTTTTCTCTTTTCTTCTTGGACTTCTATTGAAGAAGAGGAGAAATTTAATTTAATGTAAATATATATGTGGGTGTAAATATTTTCCCCTTCCCCCAGTAAGGAATGGTCGTGTTTTGTCTGAAAACTCTTCACGTGGGGTAAAAAAGATATCAAGTCCATACCATCACTAAACACTCTCACAGGGACAAACTGTGGGATGGGGGCTTGAACTTAAAAATTAGATTCTTGGGAGTTTCAAACCACCACAATATGTATGTATGTATGTATGTATTCTACCTTTCACAAAAACCTATTCTCTAAACATACAATGGAAACCACCACAATACCTCCTCTGGCTGGTTGTGTCATGCTGTATAATGGATGTGACAAGACAGCCTTATAAAAGATAGATGGAAATTTCTTTTCTTTTTGAGAAAAGGGAAGCACTTAGAGTATTTTCCCTGTAGGCAGCAACACAGCAGGCACTAAAATACTTGAACTACTTACTAACTAGTGGGTTTCTGTGGAGTTAAATTGGAATATTGCTCATGTTTCCATTTCACTGGCATTCAGTCAGTCTGAGTGTATGCCTCTACCCTCTGATTTTGTACCAAATTATGGCTGAGGAATATTACGGAATATGACAACAAAAGTACTTTCCCCCTCCCCCCCAAAGATTATGTGAATCAGCTATCAGGACATTTCACTTTCAGGTCACTATATCACATTCAATTTAGGTTTCTCCCAGTCACTGAAGGTTGGAACTCTATGTGTATCTGATTTGTATGGGTGGGTTCTAGAAAAGCGTGGTAGAAGATTGGATTGGATCACAAAAATCCCACCAAAACCAGCATGCCAAGGATTTTAGAAGTTCAGAAAATGAAACCAGCCCCCACTCAAGCAGAATTTCACTGAAAACGCTGGGATATAAAGCACTTTTGAGCATTTGTTAAAGCACTTTTCTATGGGTAAGTCAGTAAATGTTCCTCATTACTCTGTTCATCTACTTATAGATAATTTTTTTTCCAAGTATGCCTGCTGAGTTATGAATTTCTAAGGGTCCTGTCACAAATAAAGTGCCTGCTTTAAACAAATAAGTTTGCTTGAGGATTACAGAAACTGGGTTGAAGAGAGGTGGAAAAGACTGACATCAGTTTTACTGTTACTGTTATGTTTAAAGGAAAGGATTTATGCCTGTCTGAAGTGTGCTGCTTTTGTAAGAATACAGATGGTCATCATAGTTACCTTTCCCAAACGGTAGAAGAGTACCACTTGGGAGGTATTTTCAGGGCACCTTGAATATTTGAGACATCAGTGAGTAAAATAAGA